TCTATGTGTGTGTGTGGGGGGGGGGGAAGCGGGATGTGCGCAGATGTCTTAACCATGCGTGTTGGTGTCCCGTTGCTGAGCCTGCTACGTATTGTTCTGTAGTTTTTCGCCGCTGATTTCTGTTGGCAATATGTCCTTCATTTATCAAGAAGCTTTTTCTTCTCTCAGAATCGATAAACCTCCGTCGTGATTTGCCGAATTATAACTGAAGCGGACATTTATACCGACCAAGCGGTATGATTCCCCCCCCCCAGAATAACACGGCTGCAGCCGAATATTTCGAATGTTCTTAATTGAAGATATCCTTCATTTTAAGTGTACGGCGCTCTTCACTCCTTTAGACGTTGGAAATGTCTACAATATTCAGGTGGATTCTCTCCATCTTTCACCTGTTCTTCGCAAAATGCTTAAAAAGTGAAGTTGATGGTTGACTAGGTTCAGCGTAGTCAAACCAGTGCACCTCTAAATGTGTGCCAAAAAGAGCACCAAAGTCGCCACCTGGTGTTTAAGAGGACTCACTCTGCTGACGGCTCCTTCTACACAGGAAATTAAGGCAAAATATGGTATACAAACATTTCGAATAATTTTTTGCAGCGCTGCAATGTAATCGAAGTGTGCGTATGGCTAAACGACTCAAGGACGAATTCTAGGCCAGCACCAGGGAAACATTAAAGTAATCGCTTGAATTTGCAACGTAAAGTTTAGTCGCATAAGATTTACTGCGTCCGTTTGATGAATACTTTTTTCACTTACGGCAGGTGTGCCAAGTTCCTGTTACTTGGTAGAATTGGAAATATTTTCTCGGTGCTGGAGACCAGATACCACACCTATCTGGAGGCTTCACTTCAGTCCGTTTGTGCTACCGCGTAACTGACTAATCCAGACCGATCTAGACATAAGCACGTTCTATCGACAGTACTGGATAGTACTGTAATCTGTCTCTTCCTGACACACGATCAGGGCGTTACCGTTGTGTGTACTGAACACCAATTTGTTGGTCATCCTCAATATCACTGACTCGCACTGCCTACTTGCAAATGGTTAGTAGTGAAATTTCCCGTGCACCCTTGATCGCCTTGACCGATTGCTATTGGGACGATCCCTCATTCGCATCCTCTCACGGTATTTATTTATTAGTGGCTAAGCACAGTTTATTTAATGTGCTCATGATTGCGACACGTGCGAGGTGTAGGAGGTGCGATGAAGTCATCCTAACCTTCAACAGTGTGTTTCAGTTGGCAACTTGCACTGACAACTGGTTAGGGAGTCTGCTGTTCTAGGTCCAGTTCCTTTCTAGAGGGACAATTTCCCTTCCCTTTGATACATTGGCGAGAAAGGAATAGGCAGCAGTTCAGCACAGACAAGTTCTTGGTAAGGGGATGCTGAGTTGGCTTTGAAATGTAATGGGTCCGAAACTCAAAAAACTGAAGACCTGAGTATAACGTTTTCGATAACATGTTTTGCACCTGGGATCTTCATCGAAATGGGCAATACGACAGCGGTCCGGTTTGGTGAATAATATATGTTGTGCCTCAATATCGCGTGGCAATTTGATTGCCTTTGTGGCGTTATCCATCTGCACGAGGATTGGTAGAAAGTTCTGCAAATACTAGATGATCCTCTGACGCGTGGATTTTATGGCATGCGAACAATTGCTGGCTTTCCTGTAAAACTTATATGGCGTTCTTCACTGTTATTCCGTTCCTGTCAGACCGCGGCACCTTGGATACCTTTTTCACTAGTTATTTTGTGTCGAGCTCTATATAGCTTAGTGGTTGGAGCGCGAATTTACTGACCGGAAGGTCTGTGGTTCAAATCCGATTTGTGCATCTCGGTTGTTCTTATCTGGGCTTGGGCACCCTGGCACTGCTTCAGCCCTCGTGCTCCCTTCGGTTGGCAGCTAGGCATAGAAAGGGTGTTACAGTTGAACCATTATATTATTATTAGTATTAGCACTGAAGTTACTTCGTATGCCTCATGATAAACAAGCCGATATCGTGTCACTCAACCTTACTTCGAACCTAGCTACAGTGATTTTTCGGAACGCGAAAGGTGCCTATCAACGGGAAATTTACTGCAGTATCTCTTCCTATTACTACCAATGAACTCTGGAGGTGACTCAGTTTATTCTGAACTACCACAGAGGGTCCAACAGGAAAAGTGGATGAGTTACATGCTGCATATTTTAAGCAATAGAGTGCTGGGTAAGGCTTTCAAAACCAGAGTTCCAAGGGCTAGTAAGGTTAGATGAACACTCCAGTGAATGTCTCTGTGTTGAATCAAGCTCTTTTCTAGCTAAATTAGATGCATTACAAAATGCCATCAATTTCCAGTCAGCCAGCTACTTAAATCGAGCTGGTGATGTTTTTACACTATTTCTTCCAGTGAAATCATCGATCAGGCAAATGTCTGGTATGTTTGGATAGGGAAAGTCGTAATTGCCTACTGCTAATCATACAGAAGAATATCGGTTGGCATAAATCAAGTTTACGCATTTAAACGCGGTCGGTGTGATTCTCGAACGAAACAGATTTCAGTCCATGGTAGGCAGATCAGTTTTTCATCCGAGCGTCTTGGCTAATTTTGATCGCAAACCGTTGCTGATTGCCTGTAGTCCGGGGTCAGTACCTACATGCACCGACGATGTTGCCTTGGCTTGCAGTGAGACGTTTATAACCAAATTTAACAGCCCAGCGGGCGAATCGTTGTTCATCATTATAACCTGATTTACCAATAACATACCGAATCGCAAATTACTACGCCATTGTTTATCGATTGCGCTGAACTATTCGATGCAGCAGTTATATATCCCAGTAAATCCACAAACGTTCGCTTGTGAAAATGTTACACAAACCCGAAAGTACCACTGGGGTCTGGGACACAATGCTGGACACTTCTCAGACCAACAAATATCTCAGTTGCTTGTCTGCTGATGACCAGGTGACAGTGAAAACAACTGAGATATTCACAATACTCTTGATCTAGCATAATTTTCGGACCTTTTTTCTTTCTGGACAACAGTAATTCGCATTTCAGCCTTCATCTTCGTAGACCGCGGCAACAGCGAGTCCTCGCCGAGCGCTCATATCTGGAGCACCATCTGCAGGGTAATAGTCATCGTGAACAGCATTCAGCTTGTTAGGTAGTCATACCTTGGAGTGCCTGCATCCGAATAGACAAACAATTACACCAACTTCAATCGGAATGCGATTCGTTGCATATCGCGTTACCGGGACCTATGTCCTACTTTTTCACCTTAATTTGACATGGCAACTCAAACTTCTTTGGATCGATGCGAACTCGTTTCGCATAGCATATGACCCGCACACCACCGTTCATGGTGCTTTACGGATTCCTTAGACTAAAACCGCGTGCTGCACAGCCTGACGACCGATTTCTGTAATTTTTGTAAATTCCATTGGTGGAGTCCTGTCTCCATATCCAGACAGTGTGCACATTTATGAGAACTTCGAATTTTTCGACAATTCCCTCTAGTTTGCTTAATTCGATTGTTTCGACTGTACACAGTCGCCGATGTAACACGGCACTCACTAATCTTGATTAATTCAAAGCAGCTCGCCTTTGATCGGGCACTGACCTTATGGAGTTCCACAGTTGAACTTTGTGTTTAAAGCTGCTGTAGCGACCAAATTTTTTCTTGTATTGAGATTACATGTGCGGGTACTCTGAAGTGTCCCGAAGCTGAGCCATCGGATTATCTATTTCCCCGGTTTTTTATGTACTGATTTGTCCCATGAGTTTGAGCCATTTAAAGGCCAATTAAAACTGGAGTTATCTGTGGCTAGACGAAACAAAACATATCATTATCTTCAGATTCTTCGGAGTGTGCTGCCATCTCTTATAGAAATGGCCGGTCTACACGGGCATCTTCTATGAGTGTGATTGGCTCTATGAGCCTGGTACTTGTTCATGTGATTCAGTGACAAACTGGGAAGAGGGTCAACTCTACACAGAAGACAGAGATAGGTGAACGATCAAGTAGGCGACAATAGATGAATATATTGTTGTCAAAAAGTGTTGTTACTGCCGATGACAATATAGACTGACAGTGACGAACTGCACAATTATTCTGTTCGTCCATCGGGCTCCTGACTAGCAAACAGGCACGAATCTACGGCACATTAAAACTCAGCACCGAACCGCCGCATCTACTTTTGCGTTTCACGCGTTTTTCCATGAGCACTTAGCTCATTATCTTGACTATTTTTGGTTGTCTCACTTTTGTGCTTGAAGTATACTCTCTTCTCTCCCTCTTCTCTCTCCTCTTCTGTGCATCCCGTTTGTTTCTATACGCAGCAGGTGCTGAAAATAATCAGTGTCTTATCCCTTTCCGCTATTTTGTGTGAATGTCTAGACTTTCATCTTTTGCCGTCTTCCACCCGCCCCCCTGTTCGGTCCACCAGGACACCAAAGGAACTCTAGCAAACGCGGAGTGTCAAGAATCGGACAGTCTGCCAACCGCGCCAGACGAAGTGCCTGCTTGCGCAGATCACGTTTTCCAGCTGCAGGAGCAACAGCGAAGTCAACTTCAACCGGCAAAAGGTACTGTCAGTTCGCCATTTTCATACGGTTAACACGTGAACGGCCTAGCTAAATTAGAACATACCCTCCAGTTCGCTGATTCTATCAAATTGGCGGTTCTCTCCATACCCAAACAGTCATTCCAAAACGAATCGTCGTCTTATCGTTTTACCTAATTCTCATTTTCTCGTTTACATGGTGTATAACCTACGGATAGGCGAAGAATTCGTCCCTTCTTATGTTAACATGTTTTGTGGCGGTTCGCTCATTTAATTCTGGACACGACCCAACCCATTCCTCTTATTTTCACCGATGTTGCTTACCATCCCTATCACATTCATACAGAAACGGAACTGACTAAAGAACCCGCACACGTTCTCCTTGGTGGCAGTCGAAAACGATTGGAAGTCCCCAGTGCGAACAATACGTTGTTTTTAGACGTTGGTTCCCTGGCGCCCCGGAATGCATACTGCGCCTTGTGCGACACACACGATTATCTGCATCGAGTAGATCTACCCGCCTACTTGATCTCTCCATGTTATCATTGTCGAGAGTGGTTGGCTAAAGAGGCCAAAATTTCACCGGAAGTTCTCTTGGACTTACACCTTCAGGTAGATTATACAATATTACTTTTTTTCTTCCCAATATTCCTGTACCCTAGCTGTACTCTCCCGAAAGTTCAGGGAATTTTGAGAACCTACAGGAGATAACTCTCGGGGAGCTTTGCATGGTTTTCTATTTACCGGAATGTCCACTAGCAGTCAGGTGACATGATATGAATTTAAAGTATGTCAGTGTGCAGCTTACCTTGCGACAACTTTAAGCAGACATCTATCAATGGTTGCCATTCTTGGGTGTGCATCCCAGGACTGCCGGTCAACTAGATTCAGACCTTTATTTTTCTTCCCTGTTTCCACGTTGATTCAGTTCTGACCGTGGCATTATTTAAAAACGAATTTGCTTCACTCTATTTCCCACAAAGCACAATATCCCATGGCCAGCTCACCTTCAGGCACGATTTAATTTGCCTGCTGATGGTCGCTCGATGGAAGAACTGATTGCGTATGACTGCCGTTGGCGCAGTCGTCAACCATGTCGTTGTTTTGTGCCAATGGGAGGGCATCTTTTGCCTCCATGCGTCGAATTTCCCTGGCTGTGCCCTCCAGCCTCTGCGGTGTCTTCTAACGGCAGCAGCGTAAGCGCGGTCAGTGGGAACCCAGTTGCTGCTGACCTGATCAAACACTCTGCACCTCTGGCCGATTTGCCGCCAACACCGGACACCACCGTGTCGACATCGTCCACAGAGAACCGACCGAAGCTAAGTGACACGAGGAGTGAATCCCGTAAGTACTCATTCATTCCTTCAAAGTCGTCTTCCTGTGTTCAGTCCAACGGCAAAGCTCCCATCGAGCATTGACTTGTATGTTTACCGTGGAGACACGGATGGAAATCCAGTCGTGAGTAGGCACTGCATGGATATTGCGTCCTGATCTTTTCTCACGCATTGGTGACGGATAGCGCGGAACCGACTCTGCATAGGCTTTATAGCTAACAGTAAACACCGTCGAGCGCACTTTTCCTCAGATCGCTTATTTTCATTCTAGGCGACGAAAACCGACTACTCCTGTCTCAGTAAACTGTCCCCCGGAAGTGACTGCGGTAGCGCTGATTAGACTACAAATCTCAGGAACGCTTGGACGCGTTTCTGTCCGATTAGATTCTAGGCATAAAATATCGCTTGTTCAGTCCAACGGCAAAGCTCCCATCGAGCATTGACTTGTATGTTTACCGTGGAGACACGGATGGAAATCCAGTCGTGAGTAGGCACTGCATGGATATTGCGTCCTGATCTTTTCTCACGCATTGGTGACGGATAGCGCGGAACCGACTCTGCATAGGCTTTATAGCTAACAGTAAACACCGTCGAGCGCACTTTTCCTCAGATCGCTTATTTTCATTCTAGGCGACGAAAACCGACTACTCCTGTCTCAGTAAACTGTCCCCCGGAAGTGACTGCGGTAGCGCTGATTAGACTACAAATCTCAGGAACGCTTGGACGCGTTTCTGTCCGATTAGATTCTAGGCATAAAATATCGCTTTCAACTCATTCTAAGCGGCTTCGATTGATCAGTATATTTGGAATATCCTCAGGATCATCGAAGCGCCGAAGCTTATACCAAATCCTACAAACGATTTGGACGTATGATCTGACAAATTCCACGTTTCTTAGCACCCCATTGTTGAGATAACTTTCATTTAAATGCGCTGTTGTTCCATTGCGAATTTCTCGAGATCGTATCTTACATCGAGTTCATGAGAACGTCTGTGTATTATTTCCAGCTGTCCATGCGGCAGTCCATCCGAATGAAAGCACTCTTAGTATGCCCGCAGTGCCGATTACTCTGGGAGCTTCCCGTGGACAACAGCTCCCTTGTTCTGGCCGGCATCCACGAGGCGCCCCGATAACCTGCTGCCATGGGATACAGTTTCCCAGGCTCGATGTTACGGGTGCCCCAGCGCCCAACCGGACGCCACCAACCACAATACCAGAATCATGTCAAACAGCAACCATCGTCACCGAGACGCCGGTAACGAATCCCGGAGGTTCCACGCATCCAGGTGCGTCGTCCCTATTGCCCAACGGCTTTGTCTCTTAGACATCATTACATATAACCTCAGCGAGGGCATTGCATTTTGTTCATCCAGCCGGTTTAGTATGTAACCGTAACTTTTGCGGTGACATTCATGATCGTGTGCACATGAATTGATTTTGACTGATCTGCCAGTCGCCGCCCATCCGCATCCAAACTAGCGATCTCAAGATGCATACGTGCCAACATCGACAAACATCAACAAGTAAACATATAAATAATCAGCAGGCTTGTTTTTTTCTATTGCTCCCATCCGGCACCTTGTTATGACTGTTCTCCCTCCCTCAAACTTTACCAGAACATCTACACACAACCAAACCCTTCCAAAGCTGCGGAAGAAAAACATCACGTGATTGCGCTGTTTTCATCTTCTTTCTCGTCATGATGGGCGAAGATACAACATAAAGGAAAAAAAGAAAAAAGCAGTAAAACGAGTCTTGACATGGCGGTATTGCGATTGAATACAAAACCAAGAAATAAATATATGTGTACATGAAAGCATGAAACTTGGCTGACACAGTATAGCGGTGAAAAACGATCGTACCCAGGTGGCACCGGTTTTCTCTATGAAACTGTTATGCTGAGGAACAGTCAACAGCTTAAGAGTTGTCCACCTCTGTGGAGGATTTCCGCTTGGCCTTGATCCGTTTGAAGAACAATCCAAACGAGTGTCTGTGCTTGGCAGCCTCGGATTCTTTTTCCTTTTTCGATCGCGGTGCGTTGAGGCACATGAACTCTGCCACAAATATAAACGATTTTCGCCATCAGACAAATAGACCGTAGTATAAACAAACCAATTTGGAGATAATTAAGCTGGTCTCAGTACGCCTGTTTGTATCATTGAAGGGGTGGGGGTTGAATTTCTTTCAACGGCTTTTGAAGGTTGGCTTTCGGATGAAGAACTGTTACCTTAACGGACAATCATGAACAAAACGACAGCCTCAACATGTAGGGCCTTTTATAAACAAGAACGAAAAACAAGTAATCAAACTCTCGGACAGGCTCCATTGATTGACGAAATTCAAATGAGTGACCGTTTGGCAAGCAAAAGGGGGTGCTTTCTTAATTAGCGGGATTTCATCGTATTGTGAGCTGTCATGCCAAATGATCAACGTGCGTAGTTTTTATCAACAGAAGTAACCTTTGTATAATCAACGCTTTTATAATGCACTTTAAAGCCGTATAATTAAGGGATATTGAGAAAATGAACTGTATTAAATGGGTAGTTTGCCAGATAGCTGAGTTCCTAAACTGCTGTTCTCACCGGACTGTTCCACGTGATAATGAAGATATTGTGCATTGGGAAGAATTTGTACATACTGAGTCGATGAACTCTGTCACAAATAGAAACTCAAAAGCTTGTCTGCTTTGGTAGTAGATACCATTAAATATGATACTAAGACATTAATTCCGACACAAAAACATCCAGAAATAGTAATGTTACCCTCCCCCAGTGTAGGCACGGGATCTGGAACAGGTGAAAAGGCTTCTTACCTGGATTACTCGAGCAATCTAGGGGAAACAATTGGACAGGTGTACTAATGTATAACATATTGCCTATAAGCATTTAGCAAAGGACTACGACGAAAGGACTTGGGAGTAAAAAACTAGCGTACTAGAAAACGGACCACCAATTACTAACTCACTTCGCAGTTTTCTTGGTTCCACGGAGGTAACGCTGAAAATATGAAGAAAGGAGGAAAATATGATACCAGTCACGAATGTGTAATACGTTATTTAGGTAATAGACCAGTGGATAAAGATTTGCATCAGGAACAATAGTACAAATATCTAGAAAAGTAACTTTTCCAGCAGTTATTGTATCGGGCCTCGCGATGATGTGGTCCGAGTGGTCGCAAATGGCAAATCTTACTCTGTGGGCATCAAAATTGTCCCTACATTCGTGATTCAGGGTGAGAATTTGATGACAATACCGAATTCCCAGACCTTCCATCCTCTGCGAAATTCTTTTCTACGCCTTTCTGTATGTAATTTCGCAATTCTGATCCAAAGAATTTTCACGACGGTAGTTAATGTGAATCCATTCCAGATAGGTAAGCTAGTTTTAAGCTCTAAGGGAAGTACACGGGTCTGAGGCAACAATCGGAAATCGAACGTTGCACAGGTCAATTTCCGGTAAACTAGTCTTCCTAGAAGGGCCGTCCGATCTTACCACAGTAATTAACCGGAGAGGCTTTATCAGGTCCCGTTTTACGAATTGAAACTGCATCAAACATGCAGAGCTGCACGTAAGAATAGTAAGCGGTTTTTGACGGGTAGGCAATATTGGCTGCCTCGCGATTAAGGATAACGAAAGATAACGTCACCAAGAGACCGCATCTTGCCATTTTGTGACGGCTTGTGAACCACCGCAACTCACTGAGCTCAGTGTCCGTGCGACACTCATAGTCTCTCATACTAGCTTGTTCAATAGATATGGGTTTGAACAACAGTCTCCTGGCTCTCTAGGTTCGGGGTTGGAACACGTTTGGTGACTTGTTCCATAAAATATGGTAATGCAGCTGCATTTCCCGCCAAACACCGTTACCTTGCGGTCAGGCTTTTGAGCCAAAAGTTTTGATAGAACACGTTTGGTGACTTGTTCCATAAAATATGGTAATGCAGCTGCATTTCCCGCCAAACACCGTTACCTTGCGGTCAGGCTTTTGAGCCGTTTTTTTTGATAGAGGACCCTAATCATCCTCCTGTCTGGGTGTGGGCGCCATAGGAGTATCCCAGCCCACGAACAACTGTGTTGCACACTTACAAATGCCATATCGGCGCATGGTGCTAATGGAGGAAAGATCTAGTGCCTTCACTAAAGGATGAAAGGGAAACCCAAAGTATAGCGTTGACCAGATAATTGGGTGCCAGGTGAGGGCGAAACTTCTTCAGTGTGTTCCTCACTGCGATGATCCCGAAATCACTTCACATCGTCATCATCATCAAAGACAGCAACATCAGCCTTGACGCTGATGCCTCTGCCGTACANCAATAAAAGCCTTAGAGTGAAAAAACCAAGAGTGGGTGAGGGAGGGGATTTAGAGCTGGTCTACGTCAAGCATTCTGAGGGCCTACACCTCAAACCTCTCAATCAGACAATCTGGAGAGAAACTGACAGCACGAACGCGTGACATCGGTTAGCCGCCATTTCTTGTAACATCTCCAGCCAAGCACAGGCGGGGTCCGGGGATTCCATCCTGGAAGGCGTACAACACCAACCACCTTCAGGTTACTAGCTAATCAGACCGGTCAAAGATTGAAGCACATTCCCACAAGAACAGCTGCAACCTGAATATTGCAGCTCAACACACCATTTAAGACTTGTACGTCCACCGACTTGAGGCCATTGGCTGTTCGGTCAATTTGTGGTGTGGGTTAACTAACAGCAAGTAAATTGGGTTGGTAGTACGAGCACCCTCCAAGAAAAATAATTGTCAAAATAAATAAGGTGAAACAGGTTCAAAGTAACACAGGTGGCTATGTTCACCATGGCATTGGTTACACCGTACCTTTCAGTGAAGTCCTCCGATGGGTCGACCAATTCATCACGTTCGTTCACTGTTTTTAAGAGTTCCGCCATCAAATACTTTTCTCGCGCTTTTTCTTCGTTAGTCTTCAATATGTCTAGAAAGTTCATATGGGGAAGGTCAATTGGGTCAAGTTATAAAATGATGACAAGAAAACCGAATAATTTCCTAGGAGTCAAGATCAAAGGTTTAGTAGTCCAACGGTAATACGCTGGTTCGGTTACGACAGAATTCCACACAGACTTCAAGACTACTAGGTAGCTGTATTCGCATTTTAAACGAACTGGAAGGCCGAGACATCTCCCCCAAGCCTGATTTGACAGGCACTGGCACATATCGAATCATTGCTTTGTCCCTCCAGTTAGCATTCGTTAGTGAGAATCGAACGTGTCCCCAAGCCGCTGCACGGCGGTTTAGTACAATAAGTAGCCTCATTACTTTTAAGTAACTTGTGATGGTTGGCTTCTCATGTCAGCGCCAGTCATGCTGTAATGTGTCATAAGGCAGTTTGGTTCCTTGAATGATCAAGATGCATGCACCGTGAAGATTTCCGGCCAACTGAACATAACAGCAGGACACTTTGCATCCTCGAAGTGAGGTTCGAGGTGCTGTAGTGCACTCGCTCCTCCGTTACAGGATGCGATCAACCTTCGGACGTCTTGAGGAACTAGACTCTGAATCTTCCAGGGACGACTGATATTGATTACGTATGGGACAACTAGGCCGCACTTTTCAATTCCGAAAGGGAACCGTTGAGAATTCTGTTCACCCTGACATATGCTCGAGTCCTCGTGTCCAATCTTGTGATCAGATGTTGTAATACAGATCTGTCCAAAATGCCCAGGAGCGATTCATATTATGGAAATCAAACCGGCGGATCTTATTCCATCCGTACTGGGAAGGCCAGAGCAGCTTTTGCGAACCTACGTCACCTGTGGCGTAGGCGTGATATCAGTTTCTCTGTCAAGGGTCGGGTTTACAATGCTGCGGTGCGCTCCATATTACCATATGGATCAGAAACCTTGCTGCTGCGCGCCGAGGACATCAAAAGACTTTCAGCGTTTGACCATCGATGTCTTCGGAGCATTGCCCGAATCTGGTGGGAACACCGGATCAGTAATTCTGAGGTACGTCGAATGGTATTCGGGAGAAATAACTCACCCTCGATAGATGAACTGATCACACTGCACAGGTTGCGTTGGCTTGGCCACGTGCTGCGTATGCCAGTCGACCGACTTCCTCGAAGGGCTCTTTTCGCCCAACCATGTGAAGGGTGGAAGAGAGCCAGAGGCGGTCAAACAATGACTTGGCAGCGAAGTATGAAAGCCATTACCAGCAAACTCAGCTGCGCTGGTCACTGCCGTCTTCCTGGATGGGGACCCCGAGACGGGCCACATCAATGGCTAG